TTTATGTGTTATTTTTCAGTTTCTTTCATTTTCTTCTAGTTTTGACTTCTTTTTTGTTTTATTACATTGGCTAGAAACTAAAAAGCAGTGTTGGGTAATAATAATCAGCCTTGTCTTATTTCTTGTGGGTATTTTAAGGTTTTCATTAAAATTTTTTAGGAGTTTCTTGGGTTGGTATATTCTGATTTCAGAGGGTAAGTCTGTATTATTGATTAACTATAGAGTCTTTTTAAAATAAAAAATCGGTATTTAATTGTATTAAATGCTATATCATATTTATTGAGATGATCATTTGTTTTTTCTTCCCTTAATCTGATAGAGTAATGAATTACAATAATAGATATCCCAGTGTTAAACCATCCTTTCATATCTGGAATAAATCCTATTTGAACATCCAATCCTCTGCTATGTTTTACTTCCTAATATTTTATTTAATATTGTTGCATCTATTTTCATAGCTGAGATTGCCCATAATTTTGCATTACTCTTTTCCAATTTTTGGTTATAATTCATTATCAATTCAAATAATAAGATAAAAGCATTCTCAGGATTATACTAACTTCAAATGAATTGAAAGCTTCCTATCACCTGATGTTCTCTGTCATATTTCATATAAAGGGGAATTATCTACTCAGGAATTTTGGTAAAACTGCCCTGTAAAATCTTCTAGGTCTGATGCCATTTCTATATGTGGATTTCTCAGTATCTTATATGATTATCATTCTATTAAGATTTTCTATGTCCTCTCGAGTAAATACTGGTAATTTATAGCCACCTAAATATCACTTTTTCTATATTTTCAAATCTATCAACACAAAACTGTACCTGATATTTCATTAAAAGTTTTCAAATCTTATTTTAAATTTCTAAGATCTCTATTAGTTCATTTTTCAATAATATTATAAACTTGCAAACTTTTCTGAGAATAGTAGTCAGTCTTCTACCATTTGCCCTGTCAACCTTTCCTCAGCTGTTATTTCATCTGTTTGTAAAGTTTCATGCCTCTCTATGATTTTCGTTTCCTCAACTGCTCGGTGATTTGGGGGCTGCCGGCTTATGTTTACATTAGATGATTCCAGTTCTCTTGTCCGGGGATGTTCGTTTGTTTGTTGTAGCTTGCTTCTAGAGACTGTAGGACAGGGGCAAAGGATGAGGGTAGTTAAGTGTGGCCGTAGCTTACATTTAGGATATATCTGTTGTCTCTCCTGAAGAGTGTGGTTGCTCTGAAAGCAGTCTCCTACTCGCTTTAATTGTTTCCCTCTAAAGCTTTCTCCCATTTCTGTATCAATTGAGGATGCCTAACAAACCTTCATTAACGCTGTAACATCTTTGTACACAGGAGGCTGTGGTTTCATCTAATAAAAAAATCTATCACTTTTATCACTTTAGATGTCATAAAATCTCTTATCCATAGCATTAGGGATTGTGAAAACTTTGGTCCCATGGGCTTTTGGATGGAAAAAGAGTTGTGCCTGTGTGTTTACTTCATTCTTTTGATAAAAAATGACTCTTCAGTCATGCAAAAGTTCTGTCTGCTTCTTTTGGGGATCTATTCATCCTGTTACCCATTCAAAATGACCTGCTTGGGTCTTCCAATAACATGACTACATTTCTCTGGTCACAGTGATTAAGCAGGAGTGGACACATGACACAAGCACAGCCAATAATAGTAGCATTATCAGGAAGACTGTCTCTTCTTTCTGGAGTTGCTAACCTGGAGCTGCCTGTGTCATGTCTCCTGCCAGTGGGAGGAAGCCTGTCTGCAGGAGAAGGGAATGAGGTCAAAACAGAGGGAATCAGAGGTGAAAAAGGACTAGGAGAGATGGGAGACTGAGAAGTAAGCACTTATAATGTACAGTCACATGTACATACACACTTAATAAAATTGTTTAACTGCTTAGATCCAGGTGACCGTAGTCTGGCTTACCCCTGTGTTTACTGGCTATTTTAAGTGGAATTTCTTCCTTTTGCATCCCCAAAATTATAATACACTGTCTGGCTAACTCATTCACAAACTTTAGGTGTCCTATTAGATTTCACTTGTTCCTGGAAGACCCCATACGCCTTAAATTTACTAGTCAGCTGTTCCTCTTTGTCTTCTATTTATGTCTCTTATTTATGTCTCTCCTCTCATTTGACAGTAAGCTCCTTGAGGGCAAGAATTGTTGCTTGTCACTGTGTATCCCTGAGCCTCAGTACAAGGACTAGAGCATAAGAGGAACTGGATACATATGGTGAATAAATGAATAGACAATTTTATAATGGCATCATCTCATTTTAGTTGTCCGGCAGTAGATACCTGGCTAGAACCATGACTTTGGGTATCTGCTATGAGTTTTTGATCATTTAATGGAAATATCCAGTAGTGTTCTTGTGTAAAGTTATTAAATGTTTCTTGTAGTTTTTAGGTAACAAAAGCAAAAGTCATAGCAGTTTCCAGCTTTCTAGGTGGAGGCTTAGGCCAAGGAAAATATATATCCTCTAAGGAGATCCAGTTCCCTTATAATTCTTATGTCGGAGGGTCTGCGGGCTAATTGCACTGTCAAAACCACAGACTTGGAGAGTTCCTGGGTAGGGTGACTAAAAGGGAGTCCTCAGCTCTTTAAATACAGTAAGTGACACTCATATACTTCATCCAGTCAGGTGGCTACATCTCCAGGCATTTTCTGCCTCCATTTTCTGTTCCTTTCTGTCATTATCCTAGCTCATCCTGGCTGTTACTGCCTTCTACAACATATATGATCTGTAAACCACTAAATAAACTACAAAACATGTTGCTTATAAAACTATAGCTATTAAAAATATTTCTAGATTATAAGAAATGCTCAGGCCAAATATAATGATTTACTGAAATGTGCCTTCTATGATCTAAGGATAACATGAAATACTTTTTAAAAAGGTGAGTAGAAATAGCTAGAAACAATTGTTAAAAAGAACAAAAAAAATCAATTTTCCTTAAAATCCCAAGAAAAGTATAAGTATGATTTATTTATGTCTCTGTTAATAATTAAAATTAATATTTAGCAATTATCCTTAGATATTTATGTGTTTCGTGCTAATCTATCCACAATTAAGAAAGAAACTAAATTTCTTCAGTGTTATTTAACTTGAACACTTGACTGAGAATTAAATTTGGCACATGTACGCAGTTGTCGTGCGGCCCTTGTTTGGTCCTAGAGAACTGAGGTCAGCATGAATGATCACATTAGTGAGGCAGGATCCTGCCTCCTCCATACAAGGTTGTTCATTAAAAAAAAAAAAGATTTTTGCACCAAGGGTTATCCGACACTTCTAAAATGCTATAACATATTGTACTATAATAACTGCTTTAGTTAATCCTTTAAAATTCCATCAGTGGTCTAATCTAATTCTTGAAGACCCAATATCCTTTCCCTGAAGATTTTTTTTTTTTATAGCTCTAGTCAGTTTAGGGAAAATACAAAAGGCAATGGAAAATAAAGGAGCCAATCCTTGCCTACTTTCTCCATTTTATCTTTCCATAAGCATAAATGTCACCTAAATATATCCTTACAACAGAGAAAAAAGGCATGATTGTGCAATTGACAAAGGGAAAAGAGAGTTCTTTATGAAAATTTTTTTCCTTGATAATTCTAAATATCTGCTTATGCTACTGTTGAGGACACTATCGTTTTCCTAAAGTTTTGCTGAATAGATGAGACAGGGATGTATTCCAAACTGATAATTATTGCAACACTGTCACACTGTATGATGTAATTCTGAAATGGAAACGTTTTCAATGAAGCTTTGTCAAGTGACACTTAATTTAAGCTACAGTATGAGGAGATTGCAAAGAAGAAATTTTAAGGAAAATCAAAAGTAAAAGGCTTCCTTGTATTCCTTCAGCTCATTTTTAAAAGGCCGCATTAGCACAAGTACCCAAATGAAGTAATGGTGACTGAAATGTTTATGAAGTAAGCAATTTATAAACACGAGAATAACAATCCTCTGGAAAACAGAATAGCTGGCACATCCCATCTGGTTCTTAATTATCAGGAAAATTGTAAAGATAATGTAACTATCCCCTTATTCATTGTTTATTTCTGAAAATGGCCACTCCTATCCCTTATACTTCTAGGCAATGTAGTCTCCTAAAGTAGTTGAGTGCCTAAGAAGCACTTTTTATGACATCTTTAGCCTCCTTAAGATATTCTCTTATGCAGGATTCATTTCTAGTAATTACAAATATGTGATTATATGTAAAACTGTTCCAAAGTGTCTCCAGGTAGACCATTAATCATAGAATTGCTATTCTATGCACTGTCACTGAATCACTTATGTAGTGTTAACTGAGGGACTACTATGTCCTACATTACACTGTAGGGCAGTATACTGATGTATAAGGAAACAGCACATGATCCCTGCTGCCTTCAAGGAAATCACAGTTGGGTTGTGTTAGCTATATCAATCCACAGGAAACAGAACACCATATAGCACAGTGCATATTTACAAGCTTATTGGTGTGGTAAAAGCAGCCAATATTCAGCAGAAAGAGATCAATTGGAATAAAATAACAGAATGTGATTAAAGAGCTTGTCTAAACACTTCCTTTGAGATGCGATGCAATTAAGGAAGGTTTGCTTCATTGAGGAAGTGGGTTTTGAATTAGGCCTTAAACAATGAGTAGACGGAAAATAAATGTGAAATTAGAAGGGGTTTAGCTGAATTAATTTATCTCACTTTTCCTGATTTTATTTGTATAAAGACATACATACTCTATTCAATTGAGCTTTGTCAAATAATCAATCCATAAACACACAAAGTATACGTGATTAACACTGCTTTTAATGCCAAAAGACAGCTTATTTTCTTAATCCAAAGCTCACTTTATGTAATTATTCCTTTTGTAAACTACTACTTGGTTATATTAACACTTGAATAATCTTGACAAGAAGTTGCTTTAAGCAGTTAAAGATCCAGATGCTGATCAGCATGCATTAAGTGATTCGGCTTAATTGGTTCCATCGAGATAAATTACTTACCTCAGCTCCTATCACAATTTCTTCCCTGGTCGAGTAGAACAGAAACTCATATAGCTTGTAGTGTTGAAATAAGCTGAAATATAAAATGAATGTGCAACTCTGATTAATTTATTTCAGGAAAAAAGGTAAATATGCAAGAGCATTTATTAAAAGAAAATGGTTAATGTTTACCAAGCTAAAGACATTAAACACTACTACGGAGTTAAGCACCTCCTTTATTGTAAAATAAATTATTCAGAAATGCTAACAAATTAAAGGTTTACTTTTTGAGACATTGACAATACAGCACAGTGCCTAAAGTAATATTAGTAAATTAATCTGTGATGAGTAGATAGGTTTGGGATAAGGGAGCAATTAGATTACACCTTGAGTTTTCCTGGTTTATAACTAAAAAATGCGTTGCCCTTAAATAACACCAAACTTCACATTATTTCTCCAATTTTGCTCCAAAATGGAGTCACTTTTCTCTGGCATGAATGGCCCTGAATTCTATAATCTATTTCCATATCAATTACTTCTTCTTACCTTCTCAAACTGTTTCAAGATAACACCTGAAAAATAATGCAACATGAACTAAAATCCATTTAGAAGATATCTGATTTTCTTGTAGATTTGGTCAAACATCAAAAAGAGGAGTTAATTTAAGAAAGATAATTTCTTCAATTCCTACCCTGAAGACTAGGTGGTCAGTATATAAAAATTATGAAGAGCCAAATATATGTTCCTTAAGATATTTCTAGTAAGTTTAAAGATCTCAGCAATGTACTATTAAGAGTTAAAATTTTACTGAAGGGTTGACTTCTAATATCCTGTTTGTGATAATATTTGAAATTTTCTAATTCTCTTCCTGCTGGTTGGGAAAATTAATAGACTCATAATACAGCAAAATGCCCAAGAACAAAAAATTGTCTTAGCGGTTTCTCTTTCACTCTGGTGCCTTTTGCTATTTAAGAAAATTGATTTTAATATAACTGAGAAATTAACATTTGCAAAATGTAGCTACAGAGCATGTATAATAATGGCTTCTCCTGAATGCTGTAATGGATCAAAGTTTCAATTCATTTGAAATCAATGAAGAAATCCTCAGGCAGCTGGGTCTCTCTGAGTTATATTAGCAGTTGATCTCAGTACTAACACAATCCATTAAAAAGTGATGGGTGTGCAGACTCAGTCATGGTGGTTTTTTTTGAAAAAAATAAAAAATAAAAAAAGTCTCATGTATTCAAATTAGTCATCAACATTCAGAAAACTAACTTAGCTTTTGACATTACTTTGATTTGTTGGCTAGAAAATACATCAAGATTAGTGAAGTTTGATGATTCAATGAAGCAAAATAAATTCAAATTCTCTCTCTCTTACATTGCTTACCTAGAAAAAGCTTTAAGGTTAAAAAGATTATACTGGGAATAACTGATTTTGAGTAGAAAAATTAGACTGTAGAGTATTTGGAAATAGTTTGGCTTCCCCTCAGTGAATTAGTGTAAAATTTTTCTTTCTCCATCTCGAAGTTAATTCTTAAGTCTTCCTTCCTGCAATTTCATAATCTTTCAGACTTATTCTCCCCATTGCATATAGTAATTAGATTTTCCAATGCCAATAATGAAATTCACTTTTTACAGTGAAAATGAAAGGCATGATTTGGATGCAGTGGTCAAAGATGCAAGGTTGGGGCAAGGCCAGTACTAGGGTGAGACAGGTGAGGGAAGGGAAGCATGTAGGGAGGCAGTTACTCAGGGGCAGGTCAAGTTGCCTCCACTGCCCCATGCTGGTCCCCATGCTGGTTAGGGTTCTAACTTTACCAAGAAGTTATTAGATGGCCTCCCATGGGGAAAATAGTGACACCTCTGCTAGGAGAGTACATTTTCTCCCTCTCTTTTTAGACTTCGGGCTGACTCAAGCCCCAGACTATTTTGTTAAACATCCTGTCTTAGTCCTAAATCGAAGACAAAATACCCAGAAAGAAAATGGGTCAAGACATCTGGCTCCATACCAAGAGGTACAATGACTTGTGCACGAAGGAGCAGTGCTGATTTTCTTATTTTGAGTATATGCCTGTGCACATTACCTTCAACTAATTTCCAGGGAATGGGTAGAATACACAATGACAGGACTGTACGTGGACCAGATATGTATCTAAATGATGTATTATATTAAAAAAGGTGCAGTAGTATTTATAGGTGTATGTGTTATATAGCATTTACAAACATATATATTGCACAAGTAGATTCCTCAGTACTTATAGTAATGTTGGGGAAGAATTTTGGTGTTTGTTTTTTCAAATCACAGAAACATGACAGAATATACACTCTATTATCAAATGAGATTTCAATTTTATTGCCACGTACTATGAGGTCATGTTCTAAAAACTGCTCTCCCTCAATTGATGAGGGCTTCCACCGGTTGAGTAAATTTAACATCAGGTTAAACTGAAACATGCTTATACTTTCAATAATTGAGTTAGCATTATATTTATAAAAATGTATTTGTAGTCATTAAAATGAAAAGTACTATGTGGTTTAATTACCACTAAACTTACATTTGTGGATCTATGAGGCATTCTGCATAGCTGTTACAGAAAAGCACATTTTTCTTTAAGCAACTTCAGCATCAATTCTAGATATCATACTAACTGATATTTTATATTCTGTAACAGGTACATTGAAAATGTATAATTTCTTTGAAATCACAATATGAAGATTTAACAGCATCAAAAATAATTCTGACTTACTTTATGTGACTAATCTCTCAAATGTTACTTTTTTGTTTGTTTGTTTGTTTGAAAAGACTAGGGATTTTAGGTACGTGGTTACCCTGGTTAGGATCTAACAGTGACTAATGCTGATATCTTTTCCTAACTTAACCATTTTCTGAAATAAAATGTCAAGCATTACATTGATGAACATTTGTCCAGAGAGATGAGATGAAAGAGAAAAGAGTCGCCAGCTTTCACTATCTAGAGAGTGTCACTGTGAGGCCTGCATGGGTTTTGCTTCTACGGTTAACTATCAGTTTTGATTCCCATTATAAATCTCCTGGGCTTCGAGCTTAGCTGTAAAAATGTGTTCTGCAAGAGAGACCTGGCAGGTCCAAATAGAGAAGGGGAAGAAGGATGCTATCCAAATGTGCAGAGGACTCCCCTTACCCAGGGGTTCCCAAGCCCTGACAGGCAGAAAGGGCTTGGGGAACAGGTTTTCCAACTCTGGGTTTCCACTCCCTCCTTCCACACAAGGACCTTGCTTTACTCTAATTGATATGAAGACTATTATGGCTTTTAGTGGGACACACACATTAGGAGGTATGTTTTTATGCTAAGAAATCATATTACATCAAATGCTATTATAGGAAAACATATTATATCATGTACCATTATTAATTCATGCCAGAAACCAGTATATAAACCTTATCATATTAAACACATTAATATTTAAAAAGCTTCCAGACTACAACCAGGATCCTTGCCAAGCAAATCATGAACATGTCCAGGATATCACACAGCACCCTTTATTTTGCAATTTTAAAATTTAAAGTTGGAAAACACTGCAGTGTACAGTATTAGAGGAACAAAGATATTCTGCAGAAGCTTTTAGTTAGACAAAAGAAAGATTTTTACCAACCCTTGTTTAAATATTTGCAAACTCTAAAAATGTCCCCTGGGAAAGATGCATGACTCTAATGCAGACCTTGTGACAGATTATATAAAAAGACAGATTTCTTAGTTCGCCAATGAAGAATCACTGTAATAAAAATACTTTTCCTCCATATACCATCATTTTCTAAGCAGAAAGAAAAACTTACTGAGTTTAATTGGTCAATACTACAAAATATTTCAGGGCACATAATAAATTTGAGGAAGGGTATAGACATAAATCTGTTTCAATTTCTAGTACAAAGCATTTAAAATAAATGTTTAAGTGAGAATGAATGTTGCTTTTTAAAATGTAAAATTCTGATGTCAAGGACAACTACCTAAAATACAGACTCTACTATAATCAAATCTGATAAATCTGAAAGAATTTTATTTATAAAATTGTATTAGAGATTTAGAGGAAGAAGAAATGCTCACGTAATTTATTGTAATTCTAAATAAAATTATATTTATTTAACACAAATCTTTAAGAATGCAATGTTAGCTAAAACATTCAATGTCCTGACTTCTGTTTATTGAATAGAAGATCTGAATATTATCTAATTATGGGTTGGGTTAATTACTGCATACATTTTGTAAATGTCAAACTGGTAAAAATTGGGTTAGCTTCTTATTTAGTAGACATTTTGTAGAAGATATGAAATTAAAAAATAAATGATACTGAAAAGAAACCCATACCTGATTTTTAAGTAATCAATGATAGCATTGGCTTGTTTTATATCAAAGATATTCCAGTTCTCATTTTTTTGCAAATGGGATGGTCCTATTTCAGCCATAACTTCTCCAAGCCATTTTAAGCTGTCTTCTAAGGACATATGCAATGCTGAAAAAAAAAAAAAAGTCCAGAGACGTCTTAAGCATTGTTTTGAAAAATATAAATACTCCAAGATGTTGTTTGTGTAAAAATGTACAAATGTACATTTTCAGTATTTGTGAGACAAATTTAAAAACTATTGTTGTTTGTTTATGCTAATTAATAATTACATTTTGTGTAAAAGAATAGCAAGCTGACACACCCAACAACTGTAAATTACTATAAAGCTACACAATTGTCTAAAGAGTTTGTTTTCATTTAAAGACACATAAAAAATACTCAAAATCTATTTAAAGATTACTTTAAAATGGAAAATAATTTTTTTAATGATCTTAGAATGAGAGCACATAAATGGAATAACATGAACGTGGGTTGGATCAGCTGGCGAGGAAGGCCTGATGGTAGACTCAGTGCTTGTAGACAGCAGGGCTGAACTCGGAGCTGAAAGCGTGAATGAACCGTTGACCAATACTTTAGCTTTAGCTGATGGTTACCATGTGGGGGTTTGGGCTTGAAGATTTTCAATAGATGCCAGAAATATGGATTTTTATGTAAAACATCAAGGTTTTAAAAAATTTTTTCCTTCAAGCTACAGATTTAAAACTTATGTGAGCTGTTTCTCAAGTGTATGTGTTGTGGTGCTGGTAAGAGCCTGATGACAGTGCAGAGTGACACGGACACTACTTTGCCACCATTACCCAAAATAAGCAAGTCATTGATTGTGGTCTATTCTCTTGCAACTAAAACCAACTAAACAAACAAAGCAACACTATCTTCTATGGCATTGGTTCAGCTGAAAAAGAAGTAAATGTCAAAAGCGTCAGGCTTAACTTTTATGGCTAATACAAATATAATGCAGATATTAACTTCCATCTTCTTTTCATGTTTGGCTATATTATGCTCATTTCCACTGTGGCAGGCAAATATTATTCACACCTACTGCTTCCCACTACCTGAGCATGAACACAGGTACCTGGAGTGTCCAGTGTCCTTCGCTGACAATTGATGGGTATATGGATGTAACACTGAAGAGCCTAAGGGTGGAGAGTTGAACGGCTCCAGCAAAACCAAGTTGGACCAGCTGCTTGGGGGAGGTGAATGTCAGCTGGGGGCTTGATAAGGGCCCTGTGGAGAACTGCTGCTCAATGTGAACCCCACTTCCCCATCCCAACCCAACCTCTGCCTCTCTTAGGAAACCATCAATAACTTTTCCACTTGCTGCTAATGAAGCGGGGTTTTCAGGGAGGTAGGAGGAGAGAATGCAGAGGAGTTACAAGAACATAGGCTGTTGGACTCAGGCATTTCTGGGCTACACAGCTACTCTTTCTCTCTAGGATGGAAGTGCCATGCCCCCAAATTATTAATAAAATGACCCATTTAAAATTTTAGGAAGATACTATAAACACTAACTCGTAATTTGTTCGGTCTAGATTCTTATCTAATTATAGAAATGAGAAGCAAAAAAGTATATAACAATTAAAATCTAGTTTTATGAGTGACAATTGGTCCATTTCTCACAGCCACCCTCCAGATAGCCTTTTACGTAGGCAAGATACACAAATTACTGCTGGATAACTGGGCTTTCCATCATTCTAAGTGGAGCACAATTATTATTCTATATTTTGTTTTCCATGACAAACTTCTTTTGAAAATAGTGTGAATAAATTTAGAAATGAAAACTCTGTTGGATAAAAGCAGTTCAGATATGATGGATTAAAAATGTGATTATTTTATTAATAAAATGCTATTAATTAGAGATGCAGAGAAAAAAGAAACTCTTAGATAACTGATTATAACTCTAGATGTAATTATACTTATCAAGCACCAAAATACATTTATATGACTATTAATATTTCCTTATGTTGAAATATAACAGACTGTAAAACTGTTTTTTCGATTCTAATGTCTTTCTATAGATAATTGGCTTTAAAAATTAAGAAAGTTATCATTTCAGTTATCTAACTGAAATATTTGCTCTTTTAAAAATCACATTTGGTGATGTGATTAAAATATGAAAGATTAAACCATTGAAATGGTAAGGGCTGTTAGAAATAAAACTTGTCTTTGAAAATTTAGGGGAATGAAAGAACATACTAGACTTATAATTAGTTGGAAGACTTAAGATGGCACCTCATAACTTCCACTGACTAGCTAGGTGATCTGAGTTTCATTTTCCTTATCTGTAAATGAAAACAATATCGATTTTCAAAATTATAGTGCTGTTGTGAGGATTAAATAAGAAATGCATCTGAGACTTGGCAAATTGAAAAGATACATATACTAGTATACTATAGGTGTATGGTGCAGTTTAGAATTCAGCCCAAAGCCAGGCACATTTGGTCTAGTAGTCATGTGAGTTTGGTCTAGTGAGTTTGGTCAACTCACTCACTGGGATTGACCCTTGTGACTTTAAGAAGTTATTTAACCTCTCTGAATCTTTTATTGTTCTCATTTTTAAAATGGGGCGGGGGGAGGGATAATAGAACTAGCTCATAAGGTTGTGTGTGAATTAAATGAGACAGTATTTGGAAGGCAAGTGACACTGTGAATGGCACAAGTTAATCATACATAAATGTTGCTTATTACTATTATTCCTATTTGTGGAAAAACAATTCCACTTTATGGAACTAAAAAGTACTCTATGGTTACTTACTAATAATATTCACATTATATACAGGGGAATCAATTTAGACCCATGGATCTAGAAGGAGGCCAGATATCCAGTCTATCTAATACTTGACATCTTGTCCTTGGTCAGGCCCTGGAAAAAAGTAGACCCCAAAATGTATATTGTTCAGACAACCTTACAAATTCTATATTCTATAATACTATTGCTGATCTAATGTGATTATTCCAGGTGGGTTGTCTGCAGGATGCCTTGTAGGTAACAGAGCACCAGTTTGAGACAAGAAACAGATCAGAAACTGAGTCAGCATAAAATGCAGTTCCCACACTAGAATTTTATTAATAATGGTTGACCACAACACTTCAGCTAAGAGCCCAGAGCGGGCTCTTCAGTGCTTTTTCTATTAAGATGTTGCTGGGTGGGGATGCTCACTGTGAACTCAGGACTCTACCATCTCTTAGCCTAAGCATAAACACACTTTACCTCTTCCCTGGCACACTTGCCTAAGATTACATTCTTTCCTGATGATAACTGTAACCTTGCTAGGTTTAAAGGTTTCAGGGAATTTCTTTTTCCTGCCAGAAGGAAAAACTAGAAACCTTGTTTTTTTCCCGGTTAGGTTTTACATATGTACTTTCACTCTCTCATAGTTTATGAGTAGTTAGATGGATCCTGCTCAAGTTTAAAAATTCATTTTTGACCTGGTATCAACAATATAAAGTTTCATTTAACAGAAATATTTTTGAGTCAGTTATAAGTTATGGAAAAAGTTTAAAATGGAAATATCTTGTCAAATTTGGAATGTGAGGTTCATGAACATTTTTTACTTTCCATTACTGCTTCTAGTTTGTGAATATTCAGCTCAGGGGTTGCAAAGGTTAGGACTGTTCATGTCATATATTCTTTTTTACAATTTAATTTTTGATTGGTGATATATTCACATGGTTCAAAAAACATATGTGAAAATATATTATGAAAAGACTTCCTTCCATCCCTGTTACCCACATGCCCAGTTCCCACATCCTTCCCTATAGAAAAATTTGATTCTTTTTTCTGTATTCTCCTAAACATTTCTATGTATATGAGTATATAATAAGAGCATATATAAATTCTCATTTTTGTCTTTTATAAACAAAAGCACACAAGTCTGTACCTTGCTTTACTTAATAACAATATACAGTTTCCAATACAATACCTATGAAGTTTCCTCATTGTTTCCTTTTTATAGCTGCATAATATTCCATTTTAGGGTTAGGCTAATCCCTACTAATTAACATTTTAGAGTAGTTTTAGATTTACAAAAAAGTACAATAACATCCCAGGGAGTTCCCAAACATTTGTAGGCAGTGCTCCCTACCGTTAACATCACTCTGGTACATTCGGCACAATTAATGAACAAATACTTTCTTTGGATTTCTTACATTTAGTTGTCACGTCTCCTTAGACCATACACTTTCTCAGACTTTCCTTCTTGGTGATGGCTTTGAAGGTTTTGAGAAGTATTAGTCAGGTATTTTGCTATATGTCCTTCAATTTGGGTTTGTCTGATATTTTGGTCATGATTAGACAGGGGCGAAGGATTTAGAGGAGGAAGACCACAGAACCATTCTCATCACATTATATCAAGGGTATATGCTATTTGACACGGCTCATCATTAACGGTGTCGGCCTTAGTCAGGTGGCCGAGACAGTATTTGTCAGGCTTCTCTATTGGAAAGTTCCTATTTCCCTCTCTTTCCCTATTGTCTTCTTTGGAGGGACATCACTGTGCAGCCCACACCTAAGGGGTGGGAGCTGTGTTTCAGCTTCAGAGGCTGAGGTATCTACAATACATAAATGGTTGGGAATTCTGTGTGAGAGATTTGTCTGTTCTATCCATGTTCATTATTTATTCAATAATTAATTTACATCAGTATGGATTCATGGATGTTAATTTTATAATTTTATAATTTAATATTATGTTATTTTGTTCAAATTGTTCCAAGTTTGGGCATTGGTAGCTTTTTCTGTTAGCATCTCTACTCCTTTGACATACATCCATCATTTTCATTTTTGAGTACTAACTTTTGGCCACTGCAAGTTGCCCAAGGCTCAGGTTTTATGTTCCTTATTCCAGGTCTACAATTAGCCATTTTTCTAAGAAGCCCTGGTTTC